ATCTCTCGGTCTCCTATTAATCGTTCGATGTAACGTGGCGTCCGCGCCGCACTAATTGCTCCGTGAAGATAGGACTGGAATAATTCGTGCAGTACGGAAGAGAGAAAGAGGGACTGTAAGATCCTTTTCAAGCGCTACGTGGACGCCGCGACGGTCAGACGCGAGAGAGAAACGAGGAAGGCTCATCGGCCGCGGTGCAGGAGAGATCAGGGGGATCGACCTTTGGCCGCTAATCGTGCGAGACACTGACAAAGTTTCGTCAGCGCTGTGGCCAGGTTTCTGGTACTCCGTGGAGAGAGGCTCATCCTCGTTGGCGTCGTGATGCCCGTGACTGATCATACTCGTAAAAGTCGACTTCCTCTCTCTCGAAAAGTGCTGCCACGGTTATCGCAGGAAATCCGGCTTGTCAGAATAAAGAGATTCGTGTCGTTGTCGGAAATTTCTTTTTGATCTTGTCAAACAAATTTCATTTACGAGAAGTCGCGTATTTTTTGGAGATAATAGCCTGGACGCTGTGCGCAATGCATGTATAAAATATTATTTACATTATATATCTCCATATCTTCATAATATACTTTTCATAAAATATTATTTGTTATTTATTTATGCTTTACTTGGTAACAAGATTTTCAAAATTAGATCACAATGTATTCATAACACTTGGTCAAGTAGTCAATCCCTTCATTCCGCACAGTGTCTATATTCTGCGAAAAAGCCATTTGCCAACGAATACCGAGCATTTCTGGCGCACGCAATTGATACCTCGTGCCAGACACGCATATGCGTGATTCTAATAGACGTCGAGACGCTCGCGGACACACATGAATATTGCTCAGTCACGGAATAATGAATGTGAGAGACGGAGACGGAGTAAAACTCGGTCAACTCCCACGTCGTGCATAATGTATCGTGTTCTGCATCGCGACCCTTCATAAACTAGTAAGGACCTGTCGAAGCAAATTTCTTAATATCCAAACGACGTGAAACAGCCACTGATTCGCGGAAAACAGAGGGCTTATATGAAACTAAATTGTATGGAACTAAATTGCAGCGGAAATTTAGTAAAATTATGTAAATCTTGCAATTATTGATAAATTGTACGTAACGAACTAAATCTTGCAATCATTGATAAATTGTAACGAACTAAATTAACAAAATTATCTTCTAAATATATAAATAGAAATAGCTGCTATACAAAAATTAGTGAAATTGTATAAATTTTGCAATTATTGATCATTGGACGGGCTATAATAAACTTAAAAAATTATTTTTTAAGAACATAGATATAAATAGTTATCGAAAAATAAGATTAAAATAATTTTAATTGGTTATGAATGTTAACTATTTCCGTTTTCTGCTCATATAAAATTTTTTATTACCACGATAAACCTAGATATTAAATAGATGCTAATCTGCTATTCATTAAGATCCTTTGATATAGATATAAACGTTGACAACTTCTCGCAGAAAAGTTTCTCGAATCGTTATCCGCGTTTTTTACGATCAATTTTCAGCTTTATCACGCACAAATGCAACTACCCGCAGTTCTTTTTCCGCGATATTTCTGTGTTAACGGCCACACCGAGTCGTTTTTACGATTGCAAAACACAGGATATTGTTTCTAAATTCAGGCGATTTTGTCGAACGACGTAATAAAAACTTAAAAACAATTCCATTGTCCTGATAGTGTCGCCGAAAGTGAACAAATGAACGATAAAGCTTACGAGCAGCGAATCCGCGGAAATTTTGTTGCAACGGAGACGAGTTAGACGCGTGCACGTGCGTAAATCTAGAGACTTAATGAACGATGGATTACTGTTTCGCGAACACGCCGTACATGGATAACGCGGAACAAATCGCTGCTTGTAGGACATGTCCGTAACGAGGCAACAGAATCACTCGCGGAAGGATTTACTGATGCGTCTCGCCGCAGTAAACGGGTCCGGATGAATGACAAATGGCAATTGATACGAGACAAATAATGTGCGACAACAGCGAAGGACGATCCAATTATTTCCTATCAGACCACCGGATTCGCGAACTCGTATAGCAATCCGTCGTTCTTTTTCGTCCTTAGATAAGAGAAAACCCAAATGTCGATGCTCGTCAACTGTGAATCTGTCTATAGCTCATTACTCTGATTTGATTTAGATATGCGACTTTATTTTTCTGAATAAGAAACGCTGTTCTAAAAGTTAATATAATTTATAATTTTGCAGTCTCAAAGCAAAAAATAATTCTTCTATCTTCCGGTGATGACATAAGCTTCGATAAAACAATGAACGATCACAGATTGGAATTTTATTCACGATAAAGTATCTTCTAGAGTGTAATAAAATGCGAATACAGGAATTTCATATAATAATAACAAGCAGCAAAGGTCGATACATGCCTTCTCTAAAAATTCCGTGTTCCCTTCTCGCGCGTGCTCGCGACCCGGCACACCTGTCGCGTATGCGAGCGCACGATTTATGCATCCCGGCCGGGGGAACGAAGCTGTCCGGAAGATGTAATGGGAGACGAGCCGCGTGAAGGGAATATACCGCGATAAAGCGGCGACGAAGAAGCGCGCAGTGGAAGGAAAAAAGGGGAGGGGACGCGGGCGGTGAAACACGCGTCCGATAATCACCGGGATTTTCGAGTAAACACCGTCCTAAGGCTCGCGCGGATAGTTTCTAGTGTCGCGGTAAGATCGCATAATTACATAAATTAGCCGCCGCGGAGGCGTTGCGACCGTCTTAAGCGCCCCTATGCTGGAAGTGGCTCACGCGACCCCAAGACGACGAAAAGTAAAAAAAAAAAAAAAAAAACGGAAAAGTTTTCTAAAATTTTTGCTTTCACCGTTATGCCGGGTCACTGCAAACCAAGCGATCAATTTTTACATGTTTTTACGATTATATTTTGTTGTTGAAAATAATAAATATTATATAGATATTGATTCTTATTAATAAAAGTACTAAAAGCATGACATGCATAAGAATTCGACTTTTTTTGTAATGAGTGTGTTATGGCTCATCGAAGGGGATATTAAATGGTTAGGAAGCAATTTTTCTAAATAGATTGTCGTTGAAATTTTTCGATAACCGCATCGCTATTCAAACGCGTTTGTGCTTTATCGCTTAACAATGTGCGCTTGTCACACACATACGAAAGTGTATACACGTATATATTTCGACTATATATTCGACTATAATTTTCTCTATTGCTGTTCCCCTTTCCAAGGTGGTCGCATAGGGCGCTGCCTTATCACACGTAAGCGAGTGTATCGCGCTGATAGGATCGCTTCCGGATACATAAGTTGCCCGAAGAAAAGCGAATGTTGGCGAGTACGCAAATTGTATCTCTCGACATTAAAAAATTTAAGAGCGGTAGTTTTTATAAGACGCTTAGCGCAGAGTTCTGAAATTTGTGTTGATAGTCGACCGTTTCGATGGTCGATCGTTATCAACATTATTTCAAGATTCGTGCTCGACCATCATCGATGGGACCACGAATCTTGAATTTCCGTGCTCGACCATAAAATCAATTAAGCCATGGGACCACGGATGCATGGATAGGCTAAGAAAGATTCTGAAGAAATTAGCGTATAGCAAGACTATATTTCAAATATATTTCAAAATCAATAACCAAACAAAAATCGATAACGAAAAATGCGCTCTTTTATTAAATAAACTATTTCAAATGTAAAACATAAATTTTCAATTTTTGTCCCGTTTGTGTAAAACATATTCTTTTTATTTTTAACTTATATTTACATTCGCATATGTATTTCAAAAATTTTAATATATTAAGTTATTCGGAAAATTTGTAGCAATTTTTATGACTAAATAAAAAACAATTGTTTTATATTTAAATCCATCTTTATTCAATAATATATGTACGTTGTTTTCGACAACATTTGGCCATCTTTAACAACTTGTTTATACATATTACTAAATAAATAAACATATAAATATATAAAAATTGTTTTTGATTTTGTCATAAAAAAGACTATAAACTTTTTGAATAATTCAATATATCTTGCTTTAATTCTTATTTATAAAGAACATTTATTAAATATTCCAGAGTTAAATATTCAACGAATCTAAATCCTAGCCCATCCATTTTAAAATAATGGATCTATGACATTATATATTTGTTATATTTTATCTATAACATTCTTGTATATCATTATGCTTATAATATTGCATTGTATGATTTTCTTTATTTCGTATTGAAATTTATCCTATTTTTATTGTATTCACATATACGAGGATAAAATAAAAAGTAAAAAGATTTTTCATTCTCAAATTAATGAAAAATATCCCAAATATTGCAAAGAGACAAACTAGTCCTCATATAATGTTCTTGTCTACACTTACATACTCTTTAATTCATATATTTTTTAACTCATTGCAAACCGGAAACATAAATCAACATGTCCTGTTTTTGAAATGTTAATTTACGTGTTTCGAATAATCTTGTATGGTATTATTAACATGTTCCATGCCGTGTGGCTTACTGGTGGCCTCACTAAATTTTCTATTCAGGCCGTTTAAAATAAAATATTTTATATTTCTTAAATTTATTATAGCTTTTTATGATGTACAACATATTTTGTGTGTGTTACATTTTATTTTTAGTAATTTCTATAATTATAATTTTTTACAACATATACATAAATTTCACGACGTAAATAGAAAGTTATGTAAAATCAGAGCGACATGGAACATGTTAACAGATAAATATATATAAAATATATATAACGCGTGTAACAAAAAATATAATTTAAATTTATCAAGATAATAAATAATTTGTTCTTCTAGAAACTAACTAAATTTAAAATATTTTGCAATGTGCAAACTAAAATTTTTATAAAATCAATATCATATACGATCTACAATGTGTTAAATTTTATAGTATGTATCTTATAGATCCATTATCTTAATAACAATCAAGACAAATTATAAACTCACTCACCGATTGATGCGCAGCAGCGGAGTTGTCATTCTGTTGATCTGCATAGTTGATGATCTGTAAAATACGAAAATAAGTCAAGATTATAGTTGCGTTCATAATGAATATTTATCAAGTCATAATTGAGTACATTGAACTTTTAATTCTTTTTGTAAGCAAATATGGAATAAAAGAATTATTGAAAAAGTTTAATTATTAAAATAAAAGTAATAAATATGTAAATAAATTCTAATAATAATCAATATTAACTAATGTAAATATTTCAAGTCTTTTAATTTACAACATTTTCAACAAATAAATGAATTATTATTTACCGT